TGGTCTTTTTGAGACAGGGTCACCCTGTAGCCCCAGCTGTCCTGGAACTCACTATGTAGATCAGGCTGGCCTTGAACTCACAGAGATCTGCCTGCCTCTGCCTCCCAAGTGCTGGGATTAAAGGCATGCACCACCACGCCTGGCTATTTTATTATTTTATGTGTATGCGTGTATTGCCTGCTTGTAGGTAAGTGCACCCATGTTGTGCAATGCCTGCGGAGGTCAGAAGAGGCTGTCGGATCTCCTGGGACTGGAGTTCCAGACAGTTGTTAGCTGCCATGTGGGTGCTGGGATTCGAACCCAGGCCTTCTGCAACAACAACCAGTGTTCTTAACCACTGAGCCATCTCTCCAGCCCCAGATTTGGCTGTTTCTTTAAAATAACACCTTCTGTCTTTGGATCCCACCCATGGGCTGATTCTGGAAACACTTTATTTGTCCGTTACTAATAAAAGAACTGACACATCTCCAAATCCAGAGAGACGTTTTCCAGAACATGCTCTCAGGCACCAGTGAGGCATCTTTTGGTGCCAGAATTCCTGATTTGTTATCCAAATGAGACCAACAGAGTGCAGTGACATACTTCTCTCTCATGGATCCCCCAACCCTTTTCCCCACTGATGCTTCAGCAGAGCCTTGTGGCACATTAAACATCTATTTTGCACTCCTTAGTTTCCCTTATGAATATGCTGCTAGGCTAAGAAGTGGCTTTATAAATAAAGCCTTTGTTCTGATGTGGGCTATGAGATCTCTGGGGCATCCGTGTTTGAGTGCTTTGCCTGTGTATATGTAAGTGCACCACGTGCATGCAAACCTGCAGAGGCCAGAAGAAGGTGTTGGGTCCCTTGGAACTGGAATTAGAGAAGCTGCCACATGGGTGCTGGGAACTGAACCCAGATGCTCTGCAAGAGCAGTCAGTGCTTTAATCACTGAGCCATCTCTCCAGCCCCTGGAACCTCTTAATGCTCACCACAGACAAGTATAACCTGTTACCTGTCAAATGGGCTCTGCATGTCCTGAGCCTCTTTGATCATTCTGTGATAATGTTTGGCACTTACTGTTATCTGGAGGGAAGGGGCCACTTGGCTCTGGGCAAAGCACAACAGTTCCTTTGCGTCGGATGCAGTCGTTGCCACAGGTATGGAAATACGGAGTCAGCTGAGGAAAAGGAGAAGCTCAGAAAGTTCTCACCATGTTCAGAGTAAACTCTCAGCAGAACTACTCTGGTACCACCTCTTCCCTCTTTCCTGGGTTGCCCCTTCCTCTGCATTGGCATGGACAATTTTGTTCTTGGTCACATTTATGTAACCCACAGATCCAACCCAGTAACCCAAGACTAAGATACCTGTGATGCCACTGAACTTTGTGTGTGTACTGACATATTGTTTTCCTTATCTACAAGGGCTGGCTACTTCTTAATAAATACACAAATATTTCCCCTAGGATAACAGAACAGTAGGTAAATTTCCTTTCACTAGGGAAATCTATGACTTCCTGGAGAGGGGCACCGTCACAGTGGAGCCAGGGTCTGCTCCCTCTGGCTCCAAACACTTCCTTCATGTTCCAGGGAATGAAGAACAACTCTTGGGTGTGGCTGTGTTGCTCTGTGACCCTCCAGGTACCCACAATGTAAACTCAAGAGACCTGAGAGTAGCTACTGGTCCAACTTCCTGTTTCCACTTGGGCCTGCTAAGGCCCCCAGAGGATACGCACTTGCTTTCCAAAGTTTAGACTCCATCTGGTCCCTAGTCTTCTAGCTTCGAAACTGTAACTTCATTTTGCAATTTTATTTTATTTTATTAATTTTTGGTTTTTTTGAGACCCATAAAATTAAGCCCCACGCTGAGCTACCTAACAAGACTGTATGAAGCTTCTGCAACCCTGGAACTAACATAATACAACCGGCATCCTCTAACCCTGGAGCTAATATAATACAACCACCATCCTCTAAATGCAAATATTCCTGAGGTGAAAGTTCCTGTGGCTTTCTTAAAACACAGAGTTAATCTTGTTCTGTCAACATCTGATGCCTCTCACAGCTTGCACTAATATTTCCTTTTGTTTTTTTGAGCAGGGTCTCCTATAGCTCAAGCTGGCCTTGAACTCTCTAGTCAACTGAGGCTGTCCTTGAACTCCTGATCTTCCTTCCTCTACCTCCCAAGAGCTGAGATTACAGGTGTATGCTACCATGTCCTGTTGTATATCCTTTTCTACATATGCAGAAAGGGAGAAGCAGACTCTTTAATGAGTCTGTCACTAATGATGTATCTAAATAAATACCCTGATTTCTGTATTCAAATAATGTTGTAGAGTTGGCAAAGACCTTAGAGAATGTGTGAATACAAGTGAATGTTCTTAGGTCTTGGAAACTTTTTAAGTAGGATATTGTGTAGACTATGCAAATGCAACTTACTATTAACCAGCCTTTGCCCATTTTAGCACCTCACAGTAGAAGTGACCATGGCGGCCATTACCAGATCTACAAGTGCTGTTTTCACCTGGCAGAAGAGATGGAGTTATGATCACACCAGGCTCTGTAGCCATTAAGTGTGTCCTAACCCCAAACTCTACCAACATGTGGTTGCTTCTAAGAGGAATCTCCTCAAAAAGTTCAGAAGGCAGTTGCCTTACTAGGGTATCTTAAGAGTGGCAGCCCTTACCGTGCCTCCGCATTACACAGATCCCTACTGCCAGCATCCAAGTGGCCACCAGCAGCAACAGGAGGATGGAAAGACAGCCTCCTAGCACACTTCTGTCTGGAAAACAGCTTAGTCAGCTTCAGCAGGCAAAATTACATTCATTTTCTACTTGAAACAGATTTTTCACTCTCTGTGGTAGAAGTTTAGACCCTTTCAAAACATGGGTTAGAAGATCTTTGGGAAGTCTGCTGGTAGGGGTGCTCTTCCAGCATCCAGATCTTTCCCTAGATTACCGCCCCCCCTCCCATCTCCTTTCCTTGTAGCCCCAGCCAGCCTGGAACTCACTATGTAGACCAGGCTGGCCTCAATCTCACAGAGATACAGAGATTCACCTGCCTCTGCCTCTCAAGTGCTGAGATTAAATGCTTGCGTGGCCAGCTACTGTCAATTCAGTCCTACACACACACATGTGCACATATACATGAACACTTACATATACAGAGAGAGAGAGAGAGAGAGAGAGAGAGAGGAGTACAGGTGCACATGTGCCACAGTGTGTGTGTGTGTGTGTGTGTGTGTGTGTGTGTGCGCGCGCGCGTGAAAGACAGAGGATAGCTTTCTCTTGGTACCATAGGTTCCGAGGATCAAACCTGGCTTGTGAGGCCTGCGTGGTCAGCACTGTCACCTGCTTCTCTAGATTCTCAGCAGGCATGTGGGTCCCAGGAGTGAGGGGCCATCCTCCGAACTGAGGTCTCTTACTCCTTATGCACACAGCCATTTTCACTGTGGTGACTAGAGTTTGCTTGTTGTTTTTGTTGTTTAAGGAATTAGTGTTCCCCAGAGTGCACTTACGTATATAAGGCATACATATTATATATGTAATATGTCCACACAAAAGTTAGCGTTATATTTATTTATTATTTGTTATTATTTATTTATTTATTTATTTATTTATTTATTTATTTATTTATTTCCTGATTTGAGACAGGGTCTCCCTGTAGTCTCAGCTGTCCTGGAACTCACTATGTAGACCAGGCTGGCAATGAACTCACAAAGATCCGCCTGCCTCTGCCTCCCAAGTGCTGGGATTAAAGGCATGCACCACCACGCCTGGCTATTTTATTTTTTTAATAGAGCATAGGGTAATGGTTTATTTACAGAAGAGTGGGCACCCCACATTTACGGCTACACCATAAAGCCCACGCTCAAATACAGATCCTGCAGCCTCCCGACAGCCACACAAAATTGTGAGAGAAGTGCCTGTCCTAGTTTGTTTCTTCATTGCTGTGACAAAATACTCTGACCACTACCAACTTGGGGAGGAAAGGGTTTATTCAGCTTAGACGTTTTCCAGAACATGCTCTCAGGCACCAGTGAGGCATCTTTTGGTGCCAGAATTCCTGATTTGTTATCCAAATGAGACCAACAGAGTGCAGTGACATACTTCTCTCTCATGGATCCCCCAACCCTTTTCCCCACTGATGCTTCAGCAGAGCCTTGTGGCACATTAAACATCTATTTTGCACTCCTTAGTTTCCCTTATGAATATGCTGCTAGGCTAAGAAGTGGCTTTATAAATAAAGCCTTTGTTCTGATGTGGGCTATGAGATCTCTGGGGCATCCGTGTTTGAGTGCTTTGCCTGTGTATATGTAAGTGCACCACGTGCATGCAAACCTGCAGAGGCCAGAAGAAGGTGTTGGGTCCCTTGGAACTGGAATTAGAGAAGCTGCCACATGGGTGCTGGGAACTGAACCCAGATGCTCTGCAAGAGCAGTCAGTGCTTTAATCACTGAGCCATCTCTCCAGCCCCTGGAACCTCTTAATGCTCACCACAGACAAGTATAACCTGTTACCTGTCAAATGGGCTCTGCATGTCCTGAGCCTCTTTGATCATTCTGTGATAATGTTTGGCACTTACTGTTATCTGGAGGGAAGGGGCCACTTGGCTCTGGGCAAAGCACAACAGTTCCTTTGCGTCGGATGCAGTCGTTGCCACAGGTATGGAAATACGGAGTCAGCTGAGGAAAAGGAGAAGCTCAGAAAGTTCTCACCATGTTCAGAGTAAACTCTCAGCAGAACTACTCTGGTACCACCTCTTCCCTCTTTCCTGGGTTGCCCCTTCCTCTGCATTGGCATGGACAATTTTGTTCTTGGTCACATTTATGTAACCCACAGATCCAACCCAGTAACCCAAGACTAAGATACCTGTGATGCCACTGAACTTTGTGTGTGTACTGACATATTGTTTTCCTTATCTACAAGGGCTGGCTACTTCTTAATAAATACACAAATATTTCCCCTAGGATAACAGAACAGTAGGTAAATTTCCTTTCACTAGGGAAATCTATGACTTCCTGGAGAGGGGCACCGTCACAGTGGAGCCAGGGTCTGCTCCCTCTGGCTCCAAACACTTCCTTCATGTTCCAGGGAATGAAGAACAACTCTTGGGTGTGGCTGTGTTGCTCTGTGACCCTCCAGGTACCCACAATGTAAACTCAAGAGACCTGAGAGTAGCTACTGGTCCAACTTCCTGTTTCCACTTGGGCCTGCTAAGGCCCCCAGAGGATACGCACTTGCTTTCCAAAGTTTAGACTCCATCTGGTCCCTAGTCTTCTAGCTTCGAAACTGTAACTTCATTTTGCAATTTTATTTTATTTTATTAATTTTTGGTTTTTTTGAGACGGTTTCCCTGTAGCCCCAGCTAGCCTGGAACTCACTATGTAGACCAGGCTGGCTTTGAACTCAGAGATCCACCTGCCTCTGCCTCCCGAGTGCTGGGATTAAAGGTGTGCACCAACACACCCGGCTAATTTTACAATATTGAAATGGAGACTTTGGGGAAATAAAATGACTCTTCTATCTCAGAATTACTCTGAGGGTCCACCACAGGAGACACAAGCACTTTGGAAAGTCAGCAGCCACTGATGTAAGCGAAAGCAACCACAGCTGCAGGGTCAGCTTCCATACCCCACACTGTAAGGAGTCCTTGTTAATATCGCTTGTTTGGGACTACTGTGGAGAAGAGACTTAACATCTTCAAAAAGATGCACTCAGGGTTAAGGACAGATCTCAGCGGTGGTGTCCTTGCCTGGCCTTGGAAGTCCCAGGTTCAGTCTCTAATACGACACAGACACGTACACACACACAGCATCCACCCAGGAACAACCAGTCTTCCCGTTACCTCCCTTCCCAAAGCCATCATCTAACTCACCTGAACCATAGCCCCTTCACTCTCCTCAGTCACTGTGATGGCTACGGAAGTCCGCGTTAGATTATTCTGGTGCAGGTAAGCGAGACATAGTCAAGAGTTATAAGTCAAGAGTGTAGATTGGGCTGGAGAAGTAGCTTGGGATAAGAGCCTTTGCTGTTCTACAGAACCTGGGTTTGATTCCCAGCACCTACACGGTGGCTCTGTCACTCTCTTCCAGCCTTTGAGAGCACTACGCACATACCAGTAAACACACTGGCAATCAAAACATTTGTACAAATAAAAATAAATAACATCCTTTTTTAAAAAGTATGTAGATCAAGGACAGCCAGTGATGAATCCACTCTTCCTGACTTTCAGTGCATCAGACTGTGTGAAGTACTCACTTTAGACTTCTAGACTTCTGCTTTTAGTTGGGTTTCGATTTATTTAGCCCCCCAGGGTACCTACAGGGGTTTGTCTCTATCTGTTGAATTAATCAAAGTAGCCTAGCACTCTTAGACAACAGACAGTTCTGTGCTCTCTCAAAAGAAAACCTATTCAAAGGATCCTAAAGTGTCTGCACTGTCCTTCAAGATACAGAACCTGGAGGTTGGGGTTGGGGTGACAAGAGGAATGGAAGGGAAAAGTACCTCCACCACAACAGAAAGCCCCAATATTATGTTACGTTGAATGAAAACCATGTATGTATTTCCAAGGGGATTGGTTGTAAAATTCACTTCAACTGTCTCCTCATTCTTCTTACAAGCAGTGATGTTTGGGTTCCACAGACTTCCTACAAGTTGAAAGAGAACCACACGGATGAACTTGCTAACTCCTCCCTCATGAGGCCCCAACAGGGTTTTGCAGAAACAGATCTAAGTAAGTCCTTAGGCAAGCAAGAGACCAGAACTCCACTATAGTATAGTTTTAAACATTGCTCCCTGGATCTCAAAAGTGCCAGATGCCGAAGAAAATTTAGGGGGCCCCATGGTACTGCTTTAGCAGCTTCCTTGAGCTGGGAGTGGTTAGAGGCACAGATCACATTCTGCTTCTCAGCACCGCCCCCCCCCCGCCCCCCCGCACACTGTATTTTTTAGTTAAGAGCTAGGACCAGTATTTTCTTCTTTCTGGGATGGGAATAGGAACCTCAATTTGGGAGGCATGCCCCCAAATGCGTAGTCAGTGAACCAATTAGAGCTGCCAGCCTTACTGGATACAAAGAAGGAAGGAAATGGCTCAGAACTTACAGAAACCCCAGGCAGGTCAACTGTCAAAAAGTCAGTTGTTTTCATTCATGTGACTTGCAAATAAGAACTAGGATAATTTCCAGGAACTATATAGAAGAACCAATTATCTTCCCTGCCCAGGAGACCATTTCTGGTCCTGGCTCTGGAACTGGTTTTAGGAGTGAATTCCAGGGCTGATTCCAGGACCTCACACCCCCAGGGCCTCCATTCTTTTACACACCTCTGGTGTGAGGAAAGATCTTGGCAAATACCACTAGCCTTGTTATCACTACAAGACTATACTGCCCAGAAATGTATAGTAATCCTTAGAAATTGGATTAGGGACTGATCATCCTCACATCCTTATAATTCTCGAGCAGGGTTCCAACAGTCTACCCATGGGAAAGATGATCCTTTGAGGACAAAGGTTGAAGCATTCTCCTTTACTAATAGCTCATTAGTAAGACTAACATTTTGTTTACTGAACAGAAGGTTCCCAAGGCCCCCATGACCTCAGGTCAGTTGTGATAAGCAGGGGAAAGGGCCAATCACAAAACAACTTCCCATTGGCACCACTGTTAGGTGTGGTTTGGGCTAAAATGTTAGTTTAACCAAGAGGGGATGGGGACTGTCATTCCACCATATAAACTAAGAGTCTGGCCCTCCCTGGATAGGTTGCTTCAGTGTCTTAGGATCAAGAGCTCTGGGTGTTTGCACCTTCACTGAGTGGTTTGGACACACCACTCCCGGATCTATCTCTCAGTTCTTTATCTGTAGAAGGATAGACAGAACTTTGTGGGCTCTGGTTTTAGAATCTAAATAACAAAAGCAAAATGTTGCATTTTTTACTTACCTGCCTCAATGCACTGTTTTTTATATTTCATTATGTGGTTTAGGCAGCCTGGAAGTTTGAATAAAGGTTTTTATACTTTAGTGAAATATATTTGTATTATAGCCCCCTTGCCAGCACACACACACATACACACACACACACACACACACACACACATACACACACACCCTCTGACAAATTGGTAAACATTCCAGATATGAAACAGCAAATCTAAACAGGAAACTAACATTTTACCATCAAACAAAATCCTCTGCCCAAGGAAGCGGTAACCAGTCTAATTAATTAAATACAGCCTTTATCAAAACAGAATTGACAGCCGCTAAGTGACTCGGAAACCAAAAAGTGAGGCTTGATAATACATGTAGATTCAGTTCCTTCCAGACATGAAGCTTAATCCACCCTGATGCCTACCAAGTTTGAGGCCACCCTAGCCAGGTGATGAAAGTAACCGTTGCTAGTGATGTCATACAGCCCAGATATAGTGAGGAGGACCCAATACCTTGGGGGACTCATACCCAAAACCCATATCCCTGGCCTACAAATATCAGATAAAACCAAATGAGAGACAATCTATAGGATTTTTGACAAGGTGATGAAAAACAACAACCAGAGGAAGGTAAGGTGGCTCAGGGGGACATTAATGGAAAAACAGCCGAAATCCAAAGAGCCTGGAGTTCAGTTAACAGAAATGTACTGAAGTTGGTTTTTGGCTTTGGCAAATGGACCTCAGTAACATAAGATGGTAACAATCAGAGGAACTGAGGGCATACACACCTGTTACCACATTTGCAAATTCCCTAAAATGATTCCAAAATTTAAAAGGTTACTTAAAAACAAAATGAAGTTTGACATCATCAGGAAAACGGAAACTGACTGTGTAGCAAAGGGTGTGACACCAAAGCCACCCTGGATGGTCTAGAACACCAGACCACAAAGAGCTGAAAGGTCAATGCCACTGTGTACGACCCAGGGCAAGAGACTTGGGCTACCCCAGTCCCCAGAATGGCAAGAGGCTTGGCCTAAAGACACATGCCAAGTGTTCCGTACCCTACCTGGCACCCAGGAATGAGCTTGTCGCCACATTTTACCCTACTTAACCCTCTCCTCTCTGAACTCTGAGTGAGGAGTGGTTACTACTGTGTCCATATTACAGATGAGGAAACTGCGACCTTGAAAGACTAAAGCCTCGTCCAGGGTTCTCAAGGCCACCCCCAAACAGGTGTCCCAGTAAGACAGAATAACTGAAGACGTTTACCTGGAGAGGTGAAGTTCACGGACAAAGAAGGGCTGTCTTCATTCATGTTAGCGTTGGGGATGTTGTGGGCCCCGATGAGATAGAGTGTGTTCAGTGCCACAGGAAAGCCAACGTAGGAGAAGGTCCACTGCAAGGCAAAGTGAGGTGCATGAGTTGCTGACAGGCTGCACAGCACAAGAGAAGAGCCTCCATGCAGGGCCCTTTTCATTTGTAAATATTTGACATTTATTTTGTGTGTGTGCATGGGTCACAGTACACATATGGAGGTCAGAGGACAACCAGCAGGAGTTGGTTCTCTCCACCACATAGGTTCCAGGGATCGAACAAGACTGGCAGCTTTGGCAGGCAACACCATCAGTCACTGGGCCCCTTTTCATTTGTTATCTTTACACTCATGCTCCTGCTGAAGCAGGTCTCTGTTCCTGTAGGGAACAGATCCCACCCAATCTGCTGATGTCACTTGGAATCAGAGAGGCATGGTGTTTTAGAGCCAGGATATAACTGAAGTCTAGCTCCCCTCACTTTGCTGATAGGACACTGGGTGTCAGAGATGCTGACTTGCCCAAGGTACTGAGCAGACAAGTGGCCAGAAAAGGCGTCTGAACCCAAGCATCCTGCTCTGCATCAGCTGCTCACCAGGCTTTTCTGGGGCACATCGTTTATGCTCCCTAAGCAAAGGACCCAGCTGTCAGTGGCAGTCATAGGCCTAAAGTACTTACTTTGCCACCAGAAGGTCTGGTCTGACTCTGGAAGGCCTCTGTGTAATTGCACCTAACACAGCTGTAAGTCTGCATGTTGCTTTTGCCTGTCACGCAGATCTTGGTGGCCTTCAACAAGCGGATGCTGGCTGCAGAGACAAGTGGGCAGTTGTTTTGTTAGCACTTACCACGTGGTTCACATGGTAACCAATATCTCCCAAGCCACATTTTGGTGTAATTGTGGTACCCAATGTAAGATGGGGTGAATGAGGCTTTGGGATCTGGGGGTGCTCTGAGTTTCACAGAGTATCTCTGGTTAGTGATGCATCTACCCTACTTTGAACAGACTGCTTGAGGGAGCCACACAAAGACCTCCAAGTGTTGCCACCAGACCATGCCTATTTTGACTGCTCTACCCATGCACTTTCTTTCTGATGTATTCTTTCCTCCATTCCTCCCTCTCCAAGTTTCCTTTAAAGCTTATCATATCCCATAACAACAGCTACCAAAGAGCTCACTCTGCTTGGTGTGGGTCCAAAAACTATTGCAGCAACGTGCAGGAGTCTCTTCAGGGCCCCTGCCCTGGTTCTTCCTGCCCTATTCCATTCACATAGAGCACAGCTCCCCTTGGGGTGTCCCTTCACACTGCCTGTATCTCCTCTCCTACTCCTTGAAAACCACGCTGGTGTTGTTGGTCACCGGCTCATCTCCCTGGATCAAATGCATTCTTCACTCCAAGCCCACTTTGGCTTGAGAAAGGGTCTCACTCTGTACCCTGAACTGTCCTGGAAGACAGTATAGAGCCCAGGCTGGCCTCAAACTTGCAGCAAGCTCCCTGCCTCAGTTTCTCAAGTTTTGGGTAATTGGACTCTTGACTGGACTGAGTTTAACTTTGGCAGATAGAAACCACAAGCATAGCCGGGCGTGGTGGCACATTCCTTTAATCCCAGCACTTGGGAGGCAGAGGCAGGCAGATCTTTGTGAGTTCAAGGCCAGCCTGGTCTACATAGTTCCAGCCCAGCTGGGACTACAGGGGAACCCTGTCTTAAAAAAAAAAAAAAAAGGAAAGAAAGAAAGAAAAGAAAAACTACAAGTATAGGCATTAGAGTCAGGATTTTAGAGTCAGGATTGGCTCAACTTAGGAACCCATATGTTGCTTTGAGCATGATCTGGAGGAAATGCCAGGACTTTCAGGATGGTTTTGGGGAGTGGAAAAGTGACCTAAGCCAGCACTTTTGCTAAACTAGAGGAATCATCTCTGGTCTCTCCCACTCCTTTTTCCATGAAATAGGACTTCAGAAGGCCACAGCTCAACCACCTGGCACTTACCTGACCAGTACTGGCTAAGAAGCCACCCAGAGTGCTCCTATTCAGTCACTCCCACACCAGAGTAACCATCTTTATTATTATTATTTTTTTTATTTTATGTGTATGAGTGTATTGCCTGCATGTATGTGAGTACACTCGGGTCATGCAATGCCACGGAGGTCAGAAGAGGGCTTTGGATTCCCCTGGAACTGGAGTTAAGGACAGTTCATAGATGCCATGTGGGTGCTGGGAATGGAACCTGGGTCCTCTGCAAGAGCAATCAGTGTTCTTAACTGCTGAGCCATCTCTCCAGCCCCCAGAGTAACCATCTTGACTTCTAACCTCTAGATTAGCTTTGCTCTTTCAGAGGATAATGCAGTATGCACAACTGTAGGTGTGATTACAGACACTGTGTAACTCCTTGGACTTTGGCTGCTTAGGTGTGACATCCATATTATTCTACACACACACATGTGCGTACACGCCAACAGTTCTCGCTGTGTTGGGTTTCACTTGGTGATTCCATTCCTCTCCCAGTTACCTGGGTGCTTCTGTGCACATCCTGGGATGTGTCCTTCCCTGCATACATATGGACACTTCTGTTAGGTGTGCCAAGGAGTGGATTAATGGGTCCTATACCCTGCACATTTCTGGTTCAGTAGGCACTTCAGGCCTTAGCTTTGACTGATGCAAACTTACCATCTGCCCGGAGTGTCCAGCTTATGTTCATCAAAATGGAATAGTCTTCTGCTACAATACTCGTTTTAACAAGTTCCACTTGGAGGTTCCTCAAGTCTCCTGGGGTGAGAGTGTGTTGGACCATCCACTCCGGAGACGGTCCTGGGAAAAGAAAGGCAAGACTTCCTATGACATTCTTGTTTCAGGCCCAATCTAATGCCACTTCCTCCAAGTGATCTACCCTGCTCCATCCCTGCCACAATTCATCACTTCTTCCTGCTAAGGCAAACCATCCTTTCTGGATGCTGGCTGATTTATGCACCTGAGTAAATGCTCTCAGTCTTGTGGCCTCAAACTACACAGCACTTGGGGTGCTCTAGGTGTGCATAGGCATATGTATGTTTAGTGCATTTAACATGTTTTTTGGGGCCAGTCCTGCTTTCCCCATGCCTCAGCCTTATACTCCAGCCAGCTTTCCTGCCCGCCTCCCTTGGCAAAACCCCACTTCTCTTCAAAGGCTACATTTTCAGTCACCCATGTGTAGAACATGTGCTCCTTGGTCCCAACGTTAGTGCTGTCCTCCTCCCACCACACTTGCTGTCCCTCTGTAGAGCGGCACATACTTCTTTCCACCTTGCATGGTGAGTTCCACTCTGCCTATGTGCCAATTCACCAGGTGGCCAGCCCATCTCAAACACATCCTTATTCCCTGAATATGCCTTGAAAACTTCACTCTTGTTAGTTAACAAAGCAATGCATCACCCTGGACCTGGTCTCCCATGACCCCACTGCCTGGTTCAGGCCCTCTTAAAGTCCAACTATGCTTCCAAATGCCCGTTCTGTAATGTACCTACCATTCTCAGAGCCACACTGAATAGTCTGCAGAAGAGAAAGAAACAAAGAGTCACTTTGAAGATAGCAAACCACAACACTTGCTTCACCAAATTAGGTAAAACACCATCCTTTCCTTGAAGGGTTTGTACAAGTGACAAACTTTGGAAGAATAAATGACGTGGTTTGGTTGTACTTCACAGCTTGGGGGGCACTAAGCTACCCCACTGCAGGCTATAATGGACATGAAATTGTCAATGGTATGTCTGATCCTCATTTGGCAGCCCATCAACTCACTTGAAGACCAGGTAGGCACCACATATCTCTGGGTGTCATCCTTCCCTGCCATAAGCAGGAGGTGGCTGCGAGCCACTGTGAGTCCCCGCTATTATCTAATGTTTAACTGTAGGTTTTCAGGACAGTACAATTTTTTTTACTTTCCCAAGGTTAAGGATTGACTATGCCAAGAGAAAAAAGCAGCAAGCAATGAACTCAGTCCATGGGGGCTTTCCCAGCTTCTAACAAACTTCTACTCAGATGCAGAAGGACTTGCCTGAGCTCTTTAGAAAACCATGAGAGCTAGATTGTGATTTCATCATCCTATCATTTTAAAACAGATTTCAAAAAAGTAAATATGTATTATCTGTATTATTACTGTCCATAAAAGGACAGTACTAAACTCTGAGGTTTACATTAAAAAAACAAAAACCAAAAAACAATAAGCACATTGATTTGAGAATATCATATTGAGCCTAAAATATTTAATTTTTAGTTGCCAGTAAACTCCAGTGACAGAGCCAGGGGCTCTAGGACACCAGCCCTCTTACTGTCCACATTTCCAAACACCTTGCAAGACAGAAGATAGAGATTTTGGAGACAGAGTCTCCCTGTACCCCCAGCTGGCCTGGAACTTGCTATGGAGACCAGGCTGCCCTCCATCTCAAAGATCCACCTGCCTCTGCCTCCCAAGTGCTGGGATTAAAGGTGGGCACCACCATATCAGGCTCAGAAACCAAAGATTTTGATGGAGTAATTTGGGCATGGGTGAAGTCATGAGTCATCCTTTGCTTTGTGACATTCTTTTGAAGTAATGGAGCCACCAACTAGGAGCTAAGCGCTTGTTGATGAACAGTGAGATAAGGTGTAGAGAAAGGCCCAGCAACAGCTCTACACTCCACAAATTCAAACCATTGTCCTTACTTAGAAACTACCACCAGGACTGTAAATTCTTCCTGTAGAAAAACCAAGGTGACCTCAGCAGCAGAGCCGGCATGGGGAATCTGGCCAGGGGAACCCGCTGAGGACCTCCAGCATCCAACAAGGATGCTGTCTGAATTCTTTTCTTTAATGATTCGGAAGATTCCTTCAGTCATTCGGGAGACTGGGGAAGAAAGGATATCTGCCTTCAGAAATCTCCAAGACAGAAAGGAAAACAAGCAGGCCGGCAGGTGACTGTTCTGATGCCCCACAGGTGGGCAATCCAGGTATAAGCAATGCTGTCTAGTCATCACGGACAAGGAGCAAGGCATGTTATTGGTAGAAACCCTGTGTGAGTTGAGTACCACCCTTTTATAAGGGATAAGGAGGCTTGGTGAACCCAAATGCGGTGGTATCTGGGACCAGACCTAATCTCGTGCTCCCAGCACAAAGCAGCCTGACAACCTTAGCTGCCCTGTAGACTGGGAACTAAAAGCCAATAAGGGTCTGAGTACCACTGAGGCTGTCCCAGGTGTGCAGAGCTGTCCCTCTTCAGAGGATGGTCCACGGACAATTTCCGTGCTGGCAGGTCCAACTTGAAAGGATGAGAATGGAGGGAAGGAAGAAGCACAGGGGCTTACCGGCTCTTGGGGCACGGCGCTCCTGCACAGCGTGGCCAGGCTCAGCAACACAAGCGACATGGTCTGGCCACTGCCCGCCACCACGTGGGACTCGGGGCGGCTGCCCACTGCCCTCTTATCCCGGCGCCCGGGGGCAGCTCCCTCGGGGCTCCGCCTTCCGCAGCGCCGCCCTGCCTGGCCCGGGGCGGGCACTGGTTCCCGGGTGGTAAAGTGGCCGCGCTGACGCCTGCGGGGCTCGCGGGGGTGGGCGGGGTGCGCGCGGCTCGGGTCTTGGGACGATCGGAGCTTGTGCCGCGCGCGCTGAGCTCGGTGCATACCTCGAGCCCGTGCACAGGTGCATGCCGAGAGCCTGCTGCACCCGCTCCCGGAGCCCGGCCCCCGAGCAGAGCTGGCCTAGCCGCCCGCCCGCCCCTTCCCGGCGCCGAGAGCGCGCGGCGCGCAGAGGCTGCCAGTTAAAGTGCAGGGGGCCAGGGCCCCGCCGCCTTCTCTGTGCGCCCGGCTCCTTCGCTCCTGCGGCGGGTCGGACCCCGTGGCCCAGCGGCCCAGCGGCCCCAGCGGCCCAGGAGGAGCAGCTGAAAGGCGGCGGCCGCCCGACGACTGCGGGCCGGAGCGTAGTGGGTCGGGAGGACCTGGAGCCCCCTTTCCACAGCCGTGAGCCTCAGAAAGAAAAGGGAAGGGACGGGGCCTCCCAAACCTTGTCTACCTCTCCGAGACAGCTGTTGGCTGGAACTTAGTTACGTGGCTTAGTGATAGGAGTCACCACCCCACCGCTCAGGCTTTCTGGTGAGTATATTTCCATAAACGAGATCTGATGGTTACAGATGGGGTCCCAAAACTGGCGCCCTAGCAGTGACTTCAGGGCTGCGGTTCTCACATGTCCCAGGGCTACTGGATCTCCACCGCTCAGCCCTTAATTTTGGGGAGGTGGCTCAGGGACCATCCTTCTGAGATGAAGTGGCTTGAGAGAGGGAACAGTCCAGGATCATTTGGGATCAGGGAGGAGTCACAGAGCCTGGAATTCAGCCCTTCATTTGCCGAAGGCCGGGTTGGAGTGACCAATTTAGGGTGTCACACTTGTAGGCGGTGGAATTGGAGGGGTCCCTAGAGTGGGCCGTGGAAATCACAGGTGATTTGTCTCTGTTGAGAGGCTGTGCTGAGTCAAGCAATTGTGTTTGCTGAAGCCCTCCTGGGAGCCAGACCTAGTTCACCTGTGAGGCTCAGGTGAGGACTCTGTTTCAGACCCAGATGGAGTAGGCCCAGTCCCCAACCTTGAGGTCATTTGGGGCCCTGCATGCCTACACGGTGGGATTGTAGGGAACCATTTCCTGAGCGAACTGACCAAAGTTCCTGCCCAAGGAAGTTCACAAAAGTAAGGTTGTGGCCTGGCTCCTGCCTTGGACTGGGCCACCCTGGGCCCCTCACTCAGACTCTTTGAGTTGCTTGGGCCTTGTCCTGGGATCATTTCTAGCTCTCTTAGTAGCCCTGATGAATGGTAAACAGCTGGTGGGTGCAAAGGTGAACTGCTGAGGCTTGGGCTTGGAAAATGAGTGCAGTGTTAGGAACACTCAAGGACAAGGTGCCTGCCCTGTTGCAAAAGCACAGTGGGGATTGCCTTGTGTTCAGTTTCACATCTGGAACTTTGTTCCCCCGTGGAGCTGAGGAACAGGGTAGACAGATGTTTAGATGGCTGTCAGTGTTCAGTTTGGAAAGACCACCTGTGCATCTATACAAGGCAGGTCAGGGAACACCCCCTTTCAGACCAGGGAGGAGCAGCTGACTGCTAACATATGTTCACTCTGTGTAGCTGGGTGCCAGCCCAAGCTGGGCTGGAAGAACAGGCCTTGGTGTAGTGAGCTAAGGGCAAAGGCTTTGGGACAACAGGGTTATAGAGATCAGACCCAGAGACAGGTCTTGGAGTCAGCCATTTCTTGGGCTTTGTGTGCGTGTGTGTGTGTGTAGTGACGACTTGGCACAAGACAGGTGCTCTTGGAGTCACATGGACTCAGAAACCAGGGGTGGCCTCATCTGACTTTGGCAAGAATGGATGGGAGAGACCCAGGAGAAAGTGGGCTTGGAAATGGTGGGTAGGGAGTGGTTTTGCTTCGAAGGGGTCAGGCAGCTAAGTTTCTTCTTTAGGGGAAGAGTTGGTAGCAAAGGACAGAGGAAGAGTGGGTGAAGGTGGTAGTGGGAGGGGGCTGTGTGGTAGTGAGAGTACCAGGCAATGGTGACAGACAGCCACCTGACCAGAGGTTTTCCCCTGCTCCAATGATGACAAGCATGGAGATGACACTGTCCTGGTTCTGGGCCAGGGGTGTACCCGCTCATCCTGACACCGCTTGAATGGACAGTGGAAAGAAGTAGAAGGAAGGCTCTGCAGCCACAGCTGGAGTCACACATGGGCAAAGAGGATGTACCATGTCTCTTCAGGAGCATTTGTACTGCCTCAGACCACAAGTGCTGCTCCATGAGTGATCCTTGTTGATTAACATGCAGCCTCTGAGGTGATCTGCTGGAGAGGACCCACTCGCTCAAGTGCCTAAGCCTGATGACCAGAGGCAGGGCCACCACAGGTCAAGACGGCTTGGTGTCCCCTTAGTTTCCTCTTCTGTAGCAGTGAGTGAGTGAGCCAGGTAGTGGCCAGAGGTGACTAGTGGCTAAAAGAAGTGACCTTCAGTGATGCATTCTGCCAAGTCTACACTTTTGCAAGAGCTATCTGGCACAGCAAGTCTCTGCGTCCAGCGGCTCAGTGGGTATTCATTAAATTCCAGAATGAATGGATAAATTAGCACATCTTCCTCTAAGGCCTTGTGAGTTTGCCTATCCAGGAGGGCTATTTTGGACTTCTTCCTTTCCCACCATGTAGGGGAAGGTTACAGTCTGGGCTAGGGGCTGGAAAACCCCTCTGCCTACCACCCAGACTTCTAACAGGCTCTGTGTTGCTTGTTGAGACTCCAAGCCTCCATGCTTCCTGGCTCTGTGACTCACTTCGTATCTCTTGGGCCTTGACCAAAGCTCTGGTCTTTTGCAGCTCAGTTTCCTGTTCACCATATCCTGGGGCTGACATCAGTGCTGCTACCCTAGCAGGGTTGTTAGGAAACTTAGAGGAAACCAGTCAGGAAAGCGAGTTGAAGACTTTTAATTTGCCATGTGGATTTAGAGCAGGGAAGACAGGATAATTAAAAAAAAAATTCTACTAGTTCTCTCGTTCCAAAGGCGGAAATTTCCTTGGACCTGAGGGAGAGTCCCCAGATTCCATCACTGCTATAAGACCTTTGTTACTCTGCTGGATTCAACCTGTATGGGGGTTGTTGACATGAGTCTAGTTTCCACCCATACAGGTGGAATTTTCCACTTTGTTCTTTTGCAAATATTAATCAAGGCCCTGGACAGTCAACAGTGGATTCATTGTCTCTTGAAGAGGGAGCCAGTTCTGGTGAATACCAACTGCCTGCCAGGGTCCCTGCAGCCAGCCTCAGCCTGGAGAGGAGCCACTGGAACACTCTAGCCCCTAGTGCTGCCCCTGCCCTCTCTTCTATTCCAGCTGCTTGGACTTGGCCATGCCTGATTTAAGCCTGAAACCATGAGCCCACCCAGGGCTTGTACCCCATGCTTCCCAGCAAGGCCATAGAACTGCATATGTTATTTGCCCCAATAGGAAGGGCTGGCCCAGAAAAAGCCCCCAGACCCAGGCACGATTATAGCTTCGTGTTAGTGCCATCCCAGTCAGTTCCTGGGGTAAAACTGTGAGGTCATAACCAGTATGTCCTGTACATTGCAGTGATCTCTGTCCCCTGGACCCTTGTGTTGACTTTCATATTTGTTTTTTGTTTTTTTTTTTAATATCACACTGGGGCTTTGAGGAAAGTCTAGAACACAGAAGAGGTGGGCACCATTTCCTTCTCTCAAAGGCCCTGTGTAGGTGGCGTGATGGAGACAGCCTCATAGGGATGTAGGGCAGTTCACCCAAGTGATAAAGCTGTGTGGGGCACAAGTAGACTGAGTGATGCTATAATTTTTGATCAATGATAGTTGAATCAACCTGACGTTGTTATTATTATCTGTCGTAGTTGTAACTTCCCATTCTATACTTAACAGAGGAGAACATGAGATGAATAACGTTGAGCAGGAGGACAGGTGTGAATCATGAGCTGCCTGAAATCCCCACATGTTTTGAGCTTTATACTTTTCTTTCTTTTTGTTTTTTTGGTCTTTTTGAGACAGGGTCTCCCTGTAGCCCAGCTGTCCTGGAACTCACTATGTAGACCAGGCTGGCCCTGAACTCCCAGAGATCTGCCTGCCTCTTCCTTTATCTTTGCTGGGATTTTTGTTTGTTTGCTTGCTTGTTTTGTTGTTTGAGTCAAGGTTGATCTCCGAGTCATTTTCTCCTGCCTGAGCCTTGACCTCCTGAGTGTTGGGATTACAGATGTGTGCTACCATGCCCAGCAGCTAAGCTCTAGCTCTTCCTTTTGTGAAGTAGATGGCTATTTCCATTTAAATAGTTATCTATTTTTATGTATATGAGTGTTTTGTCTGTGTGTGTGTGTGTGTTTACATGCCATGTGCACACCTAGTGTTAGATCCCCTGGAACTGGAGTTATAGCCAGTTTTGAGCTGTTGTGTGGGTGCTGGGAACTGAACCCAAGTCCCCTGCAAGAGCAGCAAGTGTTCTTAACCACTGAGCTATCTCTCCAGCCTGTTTCCATTTCATAAATGAAGAAACTAAGGCCCAGAGAGCCTGCATCCTGTGTGATGGGTGAATTATAACTCCAGCCCAAGAATCTTTTCCACCAACAGCTTTCACTTCTCTTTTAAAATATTTTATTTATTATTTTTATGTGTATGAGTGTATTTCCTGCATGTGTATAAGTGCACCCGTGTTGTGCAGTGCCCTCGGAGGTCAGAAGAGGTTGTCAGATACCCTGGGAACTGGATTTACAGATTGTTGTTAGCCGTCATGTGGGTGCTGGGAATTGAACCCAGGTCCTCTGCAAGAGCAGTCAGTGCTCTTAACTGACTGATCCATCTCTCCAGCCCCTTGATTCTCTTTTAAAGTCATGGAACCTGAATATGGAACTCAAATTTATAAGACCAGATACAAGTGTAAGTGTATTTCATAATTTGATGCTTGTGCTTTAAGTTGATAATTTTTTTTTTTTTTTCTTTTTGGTCTTTTTGAGACAGGGTCTCCCTGTAGCCCCAGCAGCCCTGGAGCTCACTATGTAGACCAGTCTGGCCTTGAACTCACAGAGATCCGCCTGCCTCTGCCTCCCGAGTGCTGGGATTAAAGGCGTGCACTACCACGCCCGGCCTAGTTGATAATTTTTTCCGTATGGAGAACTATGATACCATGTTCAGCAGCATGCTCTGGAAACTGACTATGGGAGCTGGTGACCTCTAACGCTAACCTGACTTATTTCTGCAGTTGGTTTAGTGATAGCGTAGTTTTCAGCTGCTACAGAGGAGTAGATGGAGTCTTTGAAGCAGCTCACTTTGCTGTGTTGGGACCCTCTGCAGTTACAGTTATTTAGAAGTTTAGAAGGGGACATGTGTGTAAGTTGGGGGTCTGATTGCAGCTGCAGAGAGCAGGGCAGACGCCTTGGACTTGCATCCTGCCAATTCTGGGATTTGCTGGAGGTTGCTTGGTGTGCAGTGGTTGGTAGTATGTGGGTGAGTTTGAGCTTCCAAATCACATGGGCTTCGTGGAGCTGTTGCTCTTTTTTTTTTTTTTTAATATATTTTTTTTATTTTTATTTTATGTGTATGAATGTATTGCCTGCATGTATGTGAGTGCACCCATAATGTAACCAAAGTCTTAGGGCAAAAGCCTGGCTCTGGCAGCCCCAACAGGATAGATGGCAACCGCTCATCTCAGGAGTGATGGTAAAAAGGAATGAGAGGTCCAATCAATGTGGCCACACTGGGAGGAGGTAAAGTCTCCAGTGATCCCAAGTCCATCTTCTTTTTTTTTGGTCTTTTTGAGACAGGGTCTCCCTGTAGCCCCAGCTGGCCTGGAACTCACTATGTAGACCAGGCTGGCCTCAAATTTACAGAGATCCGCCTGCCTCTGCCTCCCAAGTGCTGGGATTAAAGGCGTGCGCCACCATGCCCAGCTCCAAGCCCATCTTCTTTAGGTTTAAATAGAGGAAGAATGGGGCAGGTGAGCAAGAGGCATGTGCAGTGAAGTAGCCCCCCCCCAAGTGGTCTGCGTTGTCTGTAGAAGTCCTTACTGCCTGAGGGACAAGGTGGTTCTGAGGAGTGGTTTACTCCAGTTCCAGGGTGCAGCCTCACCCGTGGATAATTGCCCTTATCTAGGGTTGGTTTGTCCTGGAAAGTTCTACTGTTGCTGGGATCCAGGATGACTGCAGGTTTAGGACAACTTATCTCTGCCCCTTCCATCTTCTAAGGGGATGGGATAGGCTAGATAGAAGGACACTCCTTAGTCATTAACATGCCTATGGTGAATCAAACAGGAGTTTGACCCAAAGTAGACACACTAAACAAAGGCAGAGCTGTCAGGCCTTCATCCTGCTTTTAGTCACCGTGTGGCCCAAGTGGGGAGTGAGTTTCTGTTATCTTAATGTTACATCTATATGAAGTACTTTGAGACACTGCAAGGGGTGGAGGGAGCTGACAGGCTTGACAAGGCTCTGGTGTTCTGGCAGGGGATAGCAGTCTATAACACTCTTTAGCTCTCTATGGTGAAGGACTTGATATTTGCTCATTAAATTTCTCATGGGCTGATTTAAAAATGCAGTGCATATTAATTACGATAATAAACCAAGCCACACAGAGTGAAAGCTGGTATCCATGAGAGGTCTGGGACAGAGGTAAGGTCATTGTGCTAGCAGCCTGGAGTAGTTTCTCAAATCTGCCTTCCACTCAGTACTTAACCTTTCACAGCCAGTCAAGGATAGTGTGTGGGCTGCTCCAGCTTACCTGCACTGTATCCTGTTACTTTGAGCAGGAAGTGTTTTGTTTTGTTTTGTTTTGTTTTGTTTTTCCACTGAGATTTAGAAAACTGTTTAACAGTTTTCACTTGAAAGAGGGAATTACAACAACACAAAAAGTGTTGCAAAAGGCCCCAAACTCCTAGGGAGAGTTTCAGCCTGTCCTCAGCTGGGCCCTCACCTCTTGCCTACCCACTCCCCCTCCTGCCCTTGTTAGTGATATTTGAGATTCTAAGCCTAGGAAGGCTGAAATCCTCTTTAGTATGGAAATTTTAAAGCCTATGCAAATTGATCTAGAGGAAATTGAGGTGGGGACTCCCTGTTTTGTTTCTGTCCCTAAGTTTCCTTCTACACTGTCTCCTGTGGCTGACCTTTTTTTTCTGCCCTCCTAGTTCTTTGTAACTTTAAAAAAAATTATAATATAAAATGTAAATGTTGGTTGTGTAAATACAGTCTTGAGGAAACAGTGACCACAAAATGCCTGTACTCAAGAATCACATTTTTTCTGTCAGTTTTTTCAGTTTGCATTTCTGAAAGGGTCTACTAGGCAGGAAAACCTCAAGACGGTTTTCAGTCTGACAGCTGATGGTTTCATCCTCAGATCTGCGCTCTAAGTTCTCATCCAGGATCCAGCTCAGAGTCACACACTACAAGATGGGCCTGCCTCTTATTTCTCTCACAATCTGTAGGTTCCTCCACCCACTTTAAATACTTTAAAAAGTATTTTCTTTGAGCCAGGCGTGGTGGCGCATGTCTGTGGTCCCAGCACTTGGGAGGCAAAGGCAAGTGGATCTCTGTGAGTTCAAGGCCAGCCTGGTCTACATAGTGAGTTCCAGGACAGCTGGGGCTACAGGGACACCCTGTCTCAAAAAGACAAAAAAAAAAAAAAAAAAAAAAAAAAAAAAAAAGAATTTTTTTGTGTATTTCATACAATGCATCTTAATCATATTTATAACTCCTCCCCATCTGTTACCCCCCCATAGCCCACCCCCTGGATTTCATGCATTCTGTCATATGTGTTAAAGCCTATCAAGTCAAATTTGCATACCGAGATGTCCCTCTGTGTGAGCTCCTCCACAGGAGCCAGCTCAGCCTATCTAGTGTCACTCCCTTAAAGAAGATCAATTCTCCCTCACCCAGCAGTGATCAGTTTTCAGGAGTTCCTCTGCTAAGGTTGGGGCCTCCTGCCTTGCCCCAGTTTTATGCTGGGTTTTTGTCTGATTGAGTCCAAATCTGGGTCTTGGGCATGTCGTCACCATTGCTGTAAGCTCATATAAGCATGTTCCCAGAAGCCTAGAGGATTCTGTCTCCTTGTGGTCATCCCCCAGCCCTGGCTCTTACAATCTTTCTGCCCTCCCTCCTCCCAATGGTCCCTGAGTCCTGGATCACCCCTTACCTTTTTATTACTTGAGTTTATGGTTGAAGAAATGTGTGTGGTTTCCCTACCTGGATTCTGTCCCTCTTCAGGGTCTCCTTGTCCTTGGTGGATGCATTTGGAAGTATGATTGGATTCTGGTTTGAATTTCTTGGTAGGCTATTTCCCAGGTGACATTGCATCCTCCCATTCAGACCCTAGCCCCAGCCACTAGGAGGAGTCCTTAGTTTTCAGTTACCTCCTGTGATGTTACTCGGTGAGGTGCAAGCTGGCCCTCAATGCTTTCTTTTCCTAAGTCTGCTAGTTCCAGGAACCTCTTATTCAGAGGGCGCCCCAGCAGTTGCTGTGGAGAGCTGATGGTGGTGTGGTGTGGGGAGGGTAGTAGCTTCAGGGTACTGTTAGAACACCATGGGGAGGGAAATGATGTCTCCTGCCCAGAGGCAGGCAGTGTCCTCTGCAGGCATCAAGAACCTGGGAACCCATGCTATAAGGACGTTAGCCTTGAGGGCCCCCAACTCTAAGGCGTTTTCTTGGCTGCCTCTGACTTACCTTGTCCCGTCCACAGTGACTTCACCTACAGACTCCACAGAGCAAAAGTATTCTGCCTGAGCCCAGGGGCCAGAGGGTGTGGCCTTGTCTTCTCCATCCAGATACCATCTTTCAGAAGGCAGTGACTCCTTTCAGATTTTCCACTGCAACTGTTTGCTGTGTGCCAGGGTAAGATTCCTAGGAAAAGAAACCTGGATTTAAAAAAATTATTAGCATATGTTCACTATATAAAGCAATGGAAACCAGATTATTGAAGAAAATGCTTGCATTTTCTTGACATTTAATTTTGTTTACTTATGGAGACATTTATTTATGTAGCCATGGTGGCCTTGAACTTGTGATCCTTCTATCTCTGGTTTTGATCTATGTATATGTCCAGGTAGCCACGGCCAAGTTAGGAACCAGAACTCCCTCATACCTGTCTGTCCTGGCAGAGATGTATAGGTTCAGCACTACTATCTCAGGCTGCCAGGGGCAGTTGGCCATAGGCCATGTATGGGCCCTTTCTTGAATGTGTCCCTGCAGCCAGTATTAAAGAATGCTCAGCACATATTAAAGAATGCTCAGTAGTGGGCAAGGCCTGAGAGCCCTGGCTGCCCTGGGGGGGCTCATTATTAATTTGTTGAGGTTTCAGAAAATGGTACATAGAGAAATTCCAGGATGGATGTGGCCAGAACAGGGCTGGGCTATAACCTCAAGGCTTTCACCCAGTAACCCATCATACCATATCTCCCACCCCAAAGGTTCTGCAACCTCCTAAAACAGCATCACCAGCTGGGGCTGCTGTCTCTCTAAGAAACTGATGCTTAAGTGAGACCTGAGGAAAGGGAAGAGAGAGGCAGGGGAAGGAAGCTGGAGCATGCACCAGGAGGAAGGAACAGTACGTTCAGAGGCCTGGGGCAGGAAGGGCCGGTGCTCTATGCACCTGGAACTAAGGGAGCACAGGGAGGGGTGACAGGTGGAGGCAGAGGCCAGGCTGGGCCGACTCTTAGAACAGCAGGGGACTGTGGGACCATAAGGAAGTTCATTCTGATGTTTTAGGGATTTGGGTGGCCTGGGTTGGAGGGAACAGTGAAATTTCTATTGGAGGAGCAGCCACCTGGTCTCATTGCTCTACAAAGTCTTATCTCAGCGACTGAGACCCTTCCCACCCCGGGCCACTGCTGTGCTCATCTCAGCGCTCCACAGAGCTGAGAAGAAGGGCTAGGAAGGATCTGCTGGGCTGCAGGAAAGTAGTCAGATCTTTACCAACTTCTTAGTCTTCCTTCGCCCTGGCAGGGGTGTTTGGTGCCTCTGTACATTTCCAGTGGAGGCTGTGACCTTCTGACTGATGTGGTTTGGATGCCTGGGACTGTGGTGGGACAGGCCCAGGCCCTGACTTGACATGGGGCATGGGCAGGTACTCGACCTCTCAGGACTGGCTTTTCATGGGCTAGTGATGGTGAAGCTCTCAGCATCCCCTGATATCTTTGGAGGGGCTCAGTGGGATAACCCACAGCCAGTGTTCAGCATGGGTAACTGTTAGTTTGGTGCATGTTATAGTGTCCCTCTGTGGTCACACAGAGGGTCTTTAAAATAATTTTTAATAGCCAGGTGTGGTGGTGCACACCTTTAATCCCAGCACTTGTGAGGCAGAGGCAGGCAGATCTCTGTGAGTTCAAGGCTAGCCTGGTCTATGTAGTGAGTTCCAGGCTAGCTGGGGCTATGGGGAGACCCTTTCTCAAAAATACCAAAAAAATAATATTTTTTTTAAATTTATTTTTATTTTATGAATATGAGTGTTTGGCCTGCTTGGAAGTACACCTGTGTTGTGTATTGCCCATAGAGGCCAGAAGAGGGCTTCAGATCCCCTGGAACTGGAGTTACAGATGGTTGTTGGGGGCCATGTAGGTAGATGGGAATTGAACCTGGGTCCTCTGTAAGTGCTCTTAACTGCTGAGCCATCTCTCCAGCCCCCATTCAGAGGCTCTTACCTGCACAAAACCCCTTCTCAGTTGGGAGCCTCATCTGGGGTCTCTGGGGACTGCAAGTCAAAGCCAACCGCAGAAGGGCAAGCGGTAAAAGTCACATGACCTGCCACAAATCCTCCAGTTGAGAGTGATTCCCAGATTGGCAAGGGTGACTGAGGCCCCCATGATGGTTTTCGTTGCTCCCTTGAAGGGTCTGGACCATGGGCACATGACGAGTATGAAGACCAAGTAGGAGTTCTGGTCTCGAGGGCTGGAGCTCACAGAATGGGAAGCGACTTTCTCTTGAAGCTCTTAACTATCTGAGCTCTACGTAGACTCAGGTCTGCCTGTGCCTTGCTCAGGATGCCGTGTGTTGTGGGTTAGCAGGACCTTTTTGCATAGATGGATTTTCTTTTTAGTAAGCAGAAGCCTGTTGGCGGTTGTAAGGTTTTGCAGTGTTAGGAAGGCAGGACAGACCTCTGGTGTATTTGGTTCGACTGTGCAGTGTTTCCTTGCGGTTAAATTCCTGGAAGATGGCTGAGCCCAAGGCCTACACCTTTATGATTGCAATGCACCCATCATCTTCCGTGTCCTGGCCAGCTGGGTCCAGATCAGAATTAGTATTTGACGTGGAGCCTGAGCTCCTTGAGCTGAAGCAGCTCCAATGCATGGTTTTTCCATGGGCCTGGCGGGGCGCTGGCTGGCCTTACTCACAGCTTGTCTTTGCTTCTTGGGTGAGTGAAAGGATCTTTGTGGTTCAAGGAACTGACCCTAGTATGGTGCTGACTGAATGTTAGAAAAGGAAACACACAGAGAGACAGATATACACTCACAGACACCTGTGCACAGATCCATGCACAGACACACACATAAAGACATGCACAGATACGTGCACAGACACACACCTGAGAGATGGGGAGGAAGAAACGAGAGGAAGGAGGTGCCGTGAGGTGCTCTGTTTAACAGGTCCCTTTGAGATGGTTTCCAGTGTTGCAGCAGTGTACTACAGATAAGATCCTGTCCCAAGTAAGGGACTTCCGAAATGGTGGGTAGGTACTTGATTCTGGCTATGGTTCCTTTGTAACTTAAAACCTCCCCTCCCTGCCAAATTACAAAACTTTGCATGGCTGGTCACGCACTTGGCCTTGCAGGCATTCTGATTTGCCGTATAAGACAGCGTCCTTACCACAAAGCTACGCCACACTTTTCAACACCCGTTTTCAGTTACTGATTTGACATGTTGGTTCATGCTATGGAGAACTGTGGTCACAAAAGCCAGTAGCAAAACCAGCAGTGTGTGGTGACCCTGAGTTTGCATTCTCCATTTATTTTCCTCTCTCTACTTGATCTACACACTGCACATCCAGAGAGATCTGTGGCTTCTTCAAAGCTGGGCCCCAACTAACCTGAGAACAGTTAAAGGGGCTGAAGGTGTCATGGTGGAAGAGTTGGGGACTTGCCAGGAGATGGGATTTTGTAATACCTGGAGAGGAATTGACTGTCTCCACTCTGGAAGGAAAGCCTGTCTTCTCTCCTCCCCAGCAGGCCCATGCTTCCCGGTGAGACTGCCCATGGCTCCTAAGTCTGTCCACCTTGATTTTTGTCTGTTGTTTCAGGATTTGATGCAAGTGAAAAGCTCTGGGTGCAGTCCCTGCTCAGAGCAGCTGTTATCCTCAAATCTGCTTTATTTATTTATTTGCTAGATTTATTTATATGTTTGTTTGCTAAATTTTTGATGACGGTGTCTCATTTTGTAGTCCAGGCTGGCTTCTACCTGCTATCCTTTTAACCTCCTGTGTGTGGCGTTACAGGTGTGCACCATTGTGCCCAGCTCTGGCCTGAAATCTTTGGACCTTGCTCACTCAGAGCTGAATCATTTTACAGAACCCACCCAGATCTGAACTGCATGTGGGGTCCTTCTTAAGTGGTTTGGGTTTTTTTTTTTTTGTCGGGGGGGAGGTTTAAAAATGTCTATTTTAACCATTTTTAAGCTCACAGTTCATTGGCATAAAGTTCACGCACAGAGGTGTACATCCTTTACCACCACTGGCCATTTCCACAGATCTTCGGTTTACCACCCAGAAGTACTGTTCTCATTAAACAGCTCCTGTTCATTTCTCTTTCTTCTGCCCCTGGTTATGTCTAATCTACTTCCTTTGTCAATAAATTTACCTATTCTAAGGAAAGTCCTCATAAGTATTTGACCTTGGGTATCTGGCATATTTCACTCACCATAATGATCTCAGGTTTCATCTGTGTTATAGCTTGTACCAGAATTTCATTCCTTTTTAAAGCAAAATAACATTCCATTGTGTTGACATACAGATTTTGCTTATCCATTCATCTGGATAAGCAAAGCCACCTGTTTCTGACTGTGGTTATTGTGAATAGTGCTGCCATAAACATTGGTACAGACTTGTCTGTGTGCTGATGGCTAGCAAGCCCCAACAATCTTGTTTCCACCTTCCACAGCACCTTTGCAGCACATGTGTGGCCATGCCCAGCTTTTTACGCAGGTGCTAGAGATTTCAAGTTCTCATGCTTGCGTAGTGAGCACTTTACTGATTGGAGCCGTCTCCCCAGATCCCTCTGCCCAGCTTTCCCACGGGTGCTGGACATCTGCACTCAGGTCTTCATGCTTGCACAGCAGGCACGTACTAACCTAGCCATCTCCTCAGTTCCTTGAGTTGCTTTTTTGCCAGTGGCACAAACAAAGGTCCGACTTCATGCTTTAGCATGTGCTAATTTCCCACGTACCATTCGTTGCGAAGACCATCCTTTTCCTTTTGAATGATCTTGACTCTCTGGTTGAAAGTCAGTTGGCCATCTATTCAAGGGTTTGTTTCTGTTCTGTTCCAGTAGTCCAAATGTCTGAGTTTGTAAAACTGCTACGGTTTTGGTAACTATAGTACAGTCATTCTATATCAGGAATTGAGTCCTCTAGTTTTGCTCTTCTCTTTCAACATTTGCTTATCTACTTTTAGCTATTTGGGGTGTCTTTAGAGTCCATATTTTTTTTAAAATAAATAATTTATTGGAGATTTCACACATGCATATAAGATGTTTTGATCAAATCCATACCCACTCCCTCCCCTCCAATTCCTCCCATATCTTCCCATCACTTTTTTCTGATAACTTCATGTACTCTTTCTCCTTCTTTGATTTATTTTTTTATGGGGCTTTTGGCTACTCTAACATTCCCCTTTCTGAAAAGGTAAC